TCGATTTTTTCCCTTGAAATATTACTATGTTGTGCTTGTTATCACACATTAAAAGAAGATGTTGCTTTTAAACATTTTTGCTTTGTTTTGAAGTATTTTAATTCTGAAAATAATGCAGCTGATGTTGGTAACCCACATTCCGCCCCCCTGACAGTGGATCCTTATAGTGTGCTCCTTAATTCCAGCCCATAAATGTCTATAGCCTATAAGCCACTTCCTGTGCTTGGATCTGAAGAATGTAGACACAGCACTAAAGAATAGTTTTCTACAAAACGTATTTGAATTTATTACACTTAACTCATACACATTCTTGTTTTATTGTGCTGCAGTTATGATCTTTGCTGACTGTTTTTTTTGCAGTGTGTCACATTTTGGCTTATTCAACCTTATTCTGATTTGGATATGAATCGGTTTGTCCACTTGCCTGATGAGTATTAAAATAAATCTGTCAGGATGACGAGGTTGCTGTAAATGTCAGGAAGGTCTCGAGGACTGTGATCAGTTTTTTAGGAGGTCTGCTGTCTCTCTCATGCTGCGGGTTAATCCCATCTCAAGTCACGCTTCAATGACTTCTGCAGCTATCAGGGTTTGATATGGCAATTACTCTGAATGTGCGTGTGTGTGCGCATTGTTGGTGTTTTTTTTTATGAGTCTGCTTCTAATTATGACTATTGCGCTTGATAACTATTGCAATAAGTGAATTCCCTCAGAGCTTGTGGGTAATGAGTATCTTGCTCTGTGTGTGTGTGTGTGTGTGTGTGCATTCATCAGTGTATGGACAGTGCAAGTAAAGAAAAAACATTGTGTGTGTGTGTTTTCAAGGACTCTGTCTGATCTCCAGGGTATTTAAAACATGTTTCTATTAGTGTGCAAAGATGAGAGGATATAGACGGCTTAATTTGCCGCATCAGGGATCCACAATCTGCTTCTCTTTGTTTCACACCAGGCCTCGTAAAGAAATGTAATTGCAGTGTTATGGGCTATTTTTAGCTGCGGGTGGTCTGATTTTTGATTTGTGTGTGTGTGTGTCTGTCCTGATCAATGTTATGGATCCCATCTTCTGTACACGCAGCTGGCTGGAATTTTCATCCAGCTGAGCCATGGTGTGTGTGTGTGTGTGTGTGTGTGTGTGTGTGTGTGTGTGTGTGGGTGTGTGTGTGTGTGTGTGTGTGTGTGTGTT